CCAAATACAAAATATAAGTTACAGAAACTATGAATTCTATCATAACTTGCCCAAAACCCTGAACTGGTGGGTTCTTGGGCATTCTTGTCATGGTGCAAAAGCATATCTATGTGGTTGCATGGAGAGTTGACAATGAATAGGTTTCTATTGGTGTCTCTATCAAATAGGCTTTAGTCATTTTCTCTGATAGATTTACTGATGTGGTTTTGTAATGTAAGACATTAACACTCATTTTGTATCATAATACTTTTGTTTGGTGACTGACATTGGTTGGATTGGAGAGGATTGACACTAATCCAACGACGTGTTTGGTGCTACACATGATTAAGGAGCTGGATTAATTGAAATATATAGCCTAGCAGATTTAGATTAACCTCATCCATATAATTCCAGTTGTTTGGTAAGATTCATAATATCCAACTACATTTAGGCTTGTAGGTTTAGACATAATAAAATCAAAGTCCTTTTTTGGCCACCAAGTATTGTGAATCCAATACGGTCATATAATCCAGCCCACCAAACGGTTAAAAAGTTAGGATGCATTTAACCCAAAAGAATAACGAAAAAGAAAAAGATACATATCAATGATCACCAACAACAAAACCCTGTACTTGTATCTGTGGATTGATTCTTTTCAGCCGGCTTGATGATGATACCTTGGATGATAAGCCCTCTCTTCCAGTGTCCCCCATGTTGACAAAGATCAAACCACACTTTTCCAGTTCCTTCTCCGTTAACCTCAAAACTACCACCACTAAGCTCTATCCACTCCCCTCTCGGCTTATGAAACAGACTATATTTCCGCTTTTGCTCCCTTCCATCTGGGAATCCGATCTTAACCGTAACCGGGAATTCCCATCCATATGCTCCGGTTGTTAGTTTGACTTTGTATGCAATCTCATAAACAACTCCTGCTGAGAGCTCTGACATCTCGAATTGTCCTCTCACATTCAGAAAGCATACATCCAATAGCTTGACTACCTCGACGTTGTCCTCACTGCGAATCAAACGTATAGTTAATTTCCGTTTGACCAATAATGATGGATTAATACCGTGCTTAATTAAGAACAAAAATCTATGATCATTTACAATCATATATAATTTAAATGGTACCTTGTTTCTTTGTAACAATTCCAAATCCAGTGTGGAGAAAAACCCCAAGTGACATCTAACCATCTTGGGTACAACTCCATGCATCTAGATTTCTTCTCAAACCATACTTTCTGCATGCATGCACAATTAATTTTCTAGCTAAGATATTTATTAATTACCTGATAATATATATATGTATGCGAACGCGTGTAGTTTTCCTTTAATTAGAGTTAAACTGACCCTTTTCTTGAACTCCTGGAATTCGCCTTCCGAAGAATCCGCCATTGTTTCACCACAGTGTGACAGAGAGGGAAGAACTGATCTCACCTGCTCGGCTTCTCTAAAACTATTAAAACAGGTTGGAAGGAAGAATTGACTTTCATATAGTTTTTATTAAAGCCAAATAACCATTTTCGTATCCCATATATAGCTCGCACTAGGTTTTGCTTTTCCAATTTTACCCATATAGTTTACTATACTAATTATTTCACTTGGGCTTCCAGGGCAATTGCTAATTTCATTATCTTTTTTTTTTCTTCAACGGAATAAGCATGTGAGGTGCATTTCTAAAAGGTCCAATTTACAGTTCCATCCGAAAAAAAACTTGGCATTTGAACATTTTAGTAATCAACGGACAACGGGGTCTAATCTAGTGAAAAATGATATTGACTTGTAAATCAATGGTCTCAAATTCGAATATCTATGACACTTGGCAATATGTATGTAAAAAAAATAATATCTAAAAGGTCCAATTCACCCTCACATCACATGCCCTTCAAGTCATAATTCTGTCGAAAAAACTTGACATTAATATTAAATGGTTCTGAAATTTAAACATTGTAAAGTAGAATTTTAATTAATATGGTTGGTGTGAGGTTGGGATCTCATGACATGTATAAATTTGAGATTCAACATTATCTTGGGTTTTAGCTAAGTTGACTATTTTAATTTTTATGTTTTAGTACCAAGTTGATGAACTATGTCGAGTTAACTAAACTAGACCAAATTGATACCTTTTCAAGTTACAGTTTTAAAAAGCAAGTGGACTAAGATATCCAGAAGGACCAAAACCAAAGTAGAGATTAGTGAGACACAAGTTTGTGTAAATAATGATTTTAGTATGATGCTCGGTAGTTAGTATAACTTAGTCGATACCTAGGACTTTAATTTTTTCGGTCGCTAGTTGGTATAAGTTCTTTTGGTAGTTGGACATAATGTACGAAAGTCCTTATAGAGCCTATTTGGAGTGTAAAATCCAAAATTAGCTACTTGTCATTTTCTAATTGGTTTTTATAAAATTTTAACACACTAAGAACCCATTAAAAAATGACAAGTGACTAGTTTTGTGTTCTTCTCTCCAAATAGGCTCTATATGAGTTTTTGTATAATATGTCATGTTAAAATGAGTTTTTGAATAAATATCTCTAGATGGTCAAACCTGTTTGAGAAAAATGTTGTTGTGGGATTGAAGGACCTCCTTGTGGGATTTCTAAGACTAAATTAATTCTTAATTTTCATGATTATAGAGAAGTTGAGTCTCAAAAGTATTTTTAGGATGTTAACTCTAAATCTGAAATTTCTTTGATTTCTTGTTGAAAACCAAATTCAAATATAGACATGATGATTTTCAACATTCCTCAAGTAATATTCTTGAGTTTACACAAGTTTTAGGTTGTTAAGCCAATTAGAAGAAAATTACAAAATAGTTCTTAAATTGTTACCAAAGCCAAACACAATAATCAAAATAGAAAATTTCAAGTGACAGTTTTAAAAAGTAAGTGGACTAATTATCCAGAAGGACCATAACCTAGGACTTTACCTTTTTTTTTTTGGGTCTAGTTGGTATAAGTCCTTTTGGTAGTTGGTACCAAGTTGAGGTTATTTTATAGCCTTGATCAATTATTTCACACTAGGGCATGACAAATTGGCTTTTATTATATAAACATATTATAGTCTCCAACTTGTAATGTGATTGATTTTTATGAAATTATTTGGCCATACACACTCAACACATACGTGTACAATACATATATCATAATTTCACTCAACAGGGGTTTGGCATTGACCTCGAGGACTAGCCAAATTGGCATGGGGCTTACTACCATGATTAATAACTAAGCTACAAGGGGCCATCTCAACTAATAAAGATGCATACCCTTTTAAGCCCCTTTTGGTTCAGGGAAATGATTTTTTATGTCTTTTTTCAAGGGATATGGAAAATGAAGATTTCTTTCCCATGTTTGGTAATGTTAGGAAAGTAATCAAGAAATACCATTTTTTTTCCTTTCCCATATTTGGTTTGCGTAGGAATGTAAAACAAAGATCGATGTTTAATTTTCCAATTATACCCATATGAAATCAAATTAAAAAAGAATACATTTAATCCTATATTGTAATTCTAAATTGTTAATGAAGACAAAATGATTATGGAAAATGCGCATTTAATGTTGGCCCATTTTTCCAAAGTTTCCCATAGGAGGGGCAAAATGAAACCTAAATGGGGGAGGAGGGTTACATTTTCTCCACTATTTTTCCATGTGCTAGGCAATCATTTCTCATGTATGCACTTACCAAACACGGTAAATCAATTAATTTCCCATTCCCAAGCCTCATTTCCCATGAACCAAACGCAACCTAAGATTTTTCATATTTTCAAAAAAATCTTGAGGTTTCAAATTGTTTTCACAAAATCTCTTTCATCAAATTTTCATCAAAAAATGGCTGATCTTATGAAAAAAACTTCTTCAAGTAACCAAATTAACTTAAAAAATTAGAACTAATTGAGTATACTTGCAATCTAATTTTTTAGGTTAATTTTATCATTTGGATAATTTTTGCTTCATGACATCTACAATTTTGGATGGAAAATTAATTACAGGTGTTTTGTGAAAACAATTCAAATCCTTAGTGGCTATTATTATTGACATGACCCGACCCAAATTCTACTTTGGAATCCGAACCGAACTCTGTGATGGTGTTGATATTGCCAGTCTTTTAAATGCAACCCTGGTTTTGCCAAAGTTTGAGGTGGCTGCTTATTGGAATGAATCAAGGTAATTGGCGGTTTGCATATCATTTCCATTGGACAGGTGGAATATCACCTCCTCTGGTTCTTGAAATTTTGATTAACTATGGGACCCACCCTCAATGTCTTGAGGCAAAGACAATTAATTACTTTATCTATCAAACCGAACAGAATGCACTACTCCGTTTTACTATTTGCGCGACAAAAAATAATTCGTCGCCCAAAATGCACTACCGTGACTGAAAATTTTCTTCGTCGTGCAAACTAGCGAAAACTGGCGCGCCCAAAATTTTCGTCTTAGCACGACAGAAGAATTCTTCGTCGCGCAAAGTGAGGAAAAAAAATGCGGGGGTTTTTTTTTTAGCCAAACACTTGCATGACGACAAAACTCGTCGCAAAAGAACACCTAGCGCGACGGTTGGTCATTGCACTACGTAAAGGTGGACAGAAAACAGTGAGTTTTGTTATTTGGCGGCAAAAACTTGTGCAACGACTTCGCGCGATGACATGATTTATCGTTGCGTAAGAAAAACGTGGGATTTTTTTTTTGGCGCCAAACCCTTGCGCAACGGAAATATGGTTCGTTGCGTAAAGTTTGATGTCGGTACGTACTTGCGCGACGGAGTGTCGATTTTGCGTGACAAAATTTTGTGCTACAAATCAGTTTCTGCGTCGCGCAAAAGTGTGATGTTGGCACGTGCTTGCACGACGAAAATGTTTTTTTGTGCGACGAAAACGTTTTTTTTGTGCGACGAAAAATTGGTTTTGTGCGAAGGAAATTTTTATTTCGCGAAGGCATTTTGCGCGACGAAATAGTTAATTCGTCGCACAAAGTCCTTCTTCATATATGTATTATGCCATTGTAGAGGCAAAATGCAAAAAAAAAAAGCATTCTGCCTCTCTTTGCACCTCTCTGCTGCTGCCTCTGCTTGGAATTCAGTACGTTCATTAGGTAAATATTTTTTGTCGTTAGTTTAAAAGTATTAATGTAAATTCGTACTAACGCTGTTAATTTCGTTCTCATTAGGGATATTTGTACTTAGTGATTGGTGAAGAAAGGTATTTTATTCGTTTCTCATATTAAAAATGTTAAATTAATTACATTATGTTAAACTTAGTTTGTTATGTTTTTTTTTTTTTTTTGTGTGAAGTTATATTTATATTATGTTGTTAAATTGTGCGTAATGAAGCACAATGTTTCACACAATAAACATTCTAAGACTTCCATGATAATCATTATTATTTTTTATTCTTATATAACTTCCATCAATATTTCACAAAATATATGCATTCTTTTATGTTAATTTTTTTTATAAAAAAAACAGTACGGCCGAGTATACTTTTGTTTTTTATTTATTACCGCCCGATTATACGTTAAAAATAAAAAATAAAAAAGAGGACCCGCCTAGTGCCCGCTTAGCGATTCGCCTCCTACGGTTTTTTTATTTAAAAATAGTATAGCCGATACTCGTCTTTTTCAAAAAGAATCTCACGTATAGCCGTGCGGCTAGACTACTCATAAAAACGTTGCCAGTAAACCGTTCGGCCATATGCTTGTTTTTTCTGAAAAGGATCCAATGTATAGCCGTACGGCTCTACTATTTATAATAATAATAATAATAATAAAAGGCCCCCCCGAGCGCCCGGTAGCAGTTGTGTCAAAAACAATACGGCCGCTGGGCTATACTATTTTTTAAATAAAAAACCGTAGTATAGCCGAGCGGCTATATGATACTGGTTGGGTATGTTTTATTTAAAAGGAGTATAGCCGCAAGGGTATACGATTTATTAATAAAAAATTAAGAGAAAGACCCTTGTAGTTACGTCAGTTTATAATTTGGGACATTTTGGAAAAAGCAAAAGGAGAGAAAAAAAATTTAAAAGAAGCAAAAATGGACAAAAATGCCCTTATTTATTTTTAGATTTCCTAAGGAATCCAATACATTTGCATGTCTTTGATTGAAAGTTAGGTGGTTTTTTTGTCTTTTTTGAAAAAGCTTTGGCTTTTTCCAAAAATGAAAAAAAATTTATGTCTAAAACCTAAAAAACCTTTATAATTTATAGATATGCAAGTGAAGTCGAATTACATCAACTACTGCGGACAATCACATATGCATGAGTAGGCCTTGGCATTTCTCCTATAACTGCGTTGCATTTCCAGTATATTGGCCCTGCCTTGTTTCTCAAAAACCAAATCCATTTACTAACTCTCTAAAATGTCCCTAAGATCTCTCACCTCTAAACCCAAAACCCTTCACTGTATCTTCCACTCTCTTCTCTCACCCTCCAAACCCAACACTCATTACAATCCCTTCTCTTCTCTCACTTACCAAAACCCACCACCTCCACCATCACCACACCTGGTGAATGAGATCTCACGCATTCTCAGCGACCACAGAAACCCTCACCACGACTTGGAGCATTCCCTCAACCCTTTGTGTACCCAAATATCCACAAACTTGGTTGAACAAGTTCTAAAACGGTGCAAAAATCTTGGCCTCCCTGCCCACAGGTTCTTTCTCTGGGCTAAAACAATTCCGGGGTTTCAGCACAGTTTTGAAAGCTATCACATTTTGATTGAGATTTTAGGAAGTAGCAAGCAATATGCTGTGTTGTGGGATTTTCTTATAGAAGTGAGAGAGTCCAAGTGTTTTGAGATTGTCCCAGAAGTTTTCTGGCTTATTTTTAGAGTTTACAGTAGAGCTAATTTGCCTCGTGATGCTATTCGAGCTTTTAATAGAATGGTTGAGTTTGGAATTAAGCCTAGTGTTCATGATCTTGATCAGCTTATGTATACATTATGTAAAAGAAAGCATGTAAAGTATGCCCATGAGTTTTTTGATAAAGTTAAGAGTGGGTTTGAGTTGAATGCTAAGATTTATAGTATTTTGATGAGGGGTTGGGGAGACATTGGTGATTCGGATGAAGCACGTAAGTTGTTTGATGAAATGACTGAACGAGGATGTTTGGTGGATGTGCCTGCATATAATAGTTATTTGGAAGCTTTGTGTAAAGGTGGGAAAGTTGATGAGGCCTATAAGATATTCCGGGAGATGGGGTCAAATGGAACTGACCCGGATGCTTGTACTTATTCGATTTTCATTCGTGCATATTGTGAAGCCAATGACATTCATTCAGTTTTTAGGGTGCTTGACAGGATGAAGAGATATAATCTTTTGCCTAATGTGTATTCTTACAATTGTATTATCAAGAAACTGTGTAAGAATGACAAGGTGGAAGAGGCTTACCAACTTTTGGATGAGATGATTGAGAGTGGAGTTATGCCGGATGCGTGGAGTTACAATGCAATCCAAGCTTATCATTGTGATCATTGCGAGGTTAACAGGGCTCTTAGGTTGTTATATAGAATGAAAAAATATAACTGCAAGCCAGATAGACATACTTATAATATGGTGCTAAAGTTGTTGATTAGGATAGGAAGATTTGATCGGGCAACGGAAGTTTGGGAGAGTATGGGGGAGATGGGATTTTATCCTTCTGTTTCAACATATTCCGTAATGATCCACGGTTTGTGCAAGAAAAAACATAAGCTAGAGGAGGCTTGTAAATACTTTGAGATAATGATCGATGAAGGTATACCACCATACTCTTCTACAGTTGAGATGTTGAGGAACCGGCTCAGGGGCTTAGGGTTCCTCGAGCATACTGAGATACTTGCAAGTAAGATGGAACAAAGCACTTCTTGTTCAATACTAGAGATGGCAAACTTGATGAGAGGTAATAAAACTTATGTAACATCTAGAAGTGAGCATACTGACAATGAAAGTGATTGATAAAACAAAAGGCTGGGTATTTGGGACTGGCGGGATCTGCATGACTCAGTTTTCTGAGTCTTAAGAGAGCTCTCCGGATGAACTGTCAGGTGTAGTCCCCGCTTCATGCTACTCTATTTGTCTATCTGTATAGAATCGTGCTCTTGCATAGTCCTGGTTAAGTAATACCCCAGTTAGTTACTTAACCAGGACTATATCCTTAGAATTGATAATCAGGTGGTGTGAAACCAGAACTGGGAGAAGCAAATTATTGGTTTCCATGCCTCTGTTAGTAAGTAATACTAGTTACTGTTTTCTCAGTTGTGTGGTTGGTGGGTAGCGTTACTGCCTACTGGCAGTTATACATCTTTTGATGCTCGGTCCATCGCTAAAACATCAATTTGGTATTGCATATTCATGATATTTGGCTGCATAAAAATGTGAATAATTTTAATTCCCTGGGGCTAGGGAATTCAGATGGTACTGGTTTTATTTATTTAGTTTTTTTTAATTACACATCATTAAATACTTTGCTACATGGCTAAGGTAACTGCATTTTGATCATCGTCATGTGTTTTATGTTACTGCAGATATTGACATTGGCATCATATGATTGGAGAAATCTTGAAAAGATTATGGGTTGTTATCTGAAGGGTTAGTTACTTACTCCTCTACTGTCTAATTGAGGCTTGTAGGTTTGTAGGTTCCAGCTACATTTAGGCTAGGCTTGGAGAAATCTTATTCATCTTAGTTCCAGCTGTTTGGGAGATTCATAATCCTACTACATTTAGGCTTGTAGGTTTAGACATCATCAAATCCAAGTTCTGTTTAGGCCACTAAGCATCTTACCAAGATTGTAAATCCTATTCGGTCATATGGTTAAAAAGTTAGGATGCATATAACCCAAAAGAATAAAGAAAAAGAAAGAGATAGTATTACATGTACAACAAATCCCTGCCAGAGCCATTGGAGAAAGACTTCAGCTAGCAATGATCAGCAACAAAAAAATCCTACACTTGTATCTTTTATTTCTGATAACCAAATAATGGCCGTCTAGTCAATCTTTTCAGCCGGCTTGATGATGATACCTTGGATGATAAGCCCCTTCTTCCAGTGCCCCCCATGTTGACAAAGATCAAACCACACCTCTCCATTTTCTTCTCCCTTAACCTCAAAACTACCACCACTAAGCTCAATCCACTCCCCTCTCGGCTTCTGAAACAGACTATATTGCCGCTTTTGCTCCCGTCCGTCTGGGAATCTGATCTTAACAGTTACAGGAAGTTCCCATCCAAATGCTCCATTTGTTAGTTTGACTTTGTATGCAATCTCATACACAACTCCTGCTGAGAGCTCTGACATTTTGAATTGTCCTCTCACATTCACCCAGCATACAGACATTAGCTTGACTACCTCAACGTTGTCTTCACTGTGAATCAAACGGATAGTTAATCACCATTTTACCGTGCTTAATTAATAACAAAAATCTTATGATGATAGTAATATATAATTCAAATTGTGCCCCGAATAAGGCATGGATAGATAATATGATGCGTACCTCATTTCTTTGTAACAATTCCAAACCCAGTATGGAGGGAAACCCCAAGTGACATCTAACCATCTTGCGTACAACGTCATGCATCTAGATTTCTTCTCAACCCATACTTTCTGCATGCACAATGATTAAAAGAATAGGGAAAACAAGTTAAAGATAAGCACCTTGCAATTGTCTGGTAATTATATATATAATTAGGCTCACCACTTTCTTGAACTCCTGGAATTCGCCTTTCGCAGAATCCGTCATGATCAAATTGTTTCACCAGTGTCAGAGAGAGGGAAGAACTGACCTCACCTGCTCGGCTTCTCTAAAACTATTACAACCTACCAGTTTGGAATTGGAACGAACTGAGTTTCATGTAGTTTTTATAAAGGCCAAATAACCATTTTCGTCCCCATAGTTTGGGTCAAGTTTTACCTTACTATAATACTATAGTTTTTCACTTTTTCATAGTTTACTTATTAATCCAATTCCAGGGTAACAATTACCGTTCAACGGAATTAGCACGTGTGGTGTACGTGTGTGAGGTACTTAGACCTCGCATGCTTACTTTTAAGTAATAGGAATAAGAAGAAATGAGATAGGTCAAATAATTCCCATTTTGATGAATGATTTTTAGGTGAGAGACATGTATTAAATGATTCCTTGTGTAAGTAAACAAACGAAAAGTCATGAATGGAAATCATTCACTTTCTTCTAATTTCCATTATTTACAACTAAAAACGTGCCATAAGTCGAATTTACACTTACACATGCCCTTCTCGTGATAATTCTGTAAAAAAAACTTCACGATATCAAACAGTTCTCGAATTTGAACCTTTTAGGAAGCTACAAGAATAAAATCTACAAGAGTAAAATCTAGAACGTCCAATTTACCCTTACACTTGCCCTTCGCGTCATAATTCCGTCAAAGAAACTCGATGGTATCCTCATTCAACAATTCTCGAATTTGAAAGTGAAATTTTAATTAATATGGTTGGTGTGAGGTCTGGATCGCATGACTTGTATAAATTTGAGAATCAACATTATCAATGACTTTTCAAATTTTATATTTTGGTACCAAGTTGGCATATTCATGTTTGATGAACTATGTCGAATTAACTAGGCTCCACCAAATTGAGACCTTTTCAATTCAAGTGACTTTTAAAATTCCAGAAGGACCAAAACCAAAGTAGAGATTAGTGAGACACAAGTTTGTGTAACCTAGTGATTAATATGATGCTGGATAGTTGGTATGACCAAGGACTAAAATCTCGATAATATCAAGGAAATATTGAGGATATTATCGTTTTTTCGAGTTTAGGATATTTTTGGACATATCCATATACATATCGTATAAATATCAATTATATCGGAAAATATCGGCGTCGATAATTTCTCTCATACTTCAGTAACATTTGGCCAAAATATGGCTATAATATCGATAATATTGAGATGATGAAGACAATGAAAAATTTGAAGAGTTATTTACACTAACATCCCCTGAGACTTCTTGTGTTTTCAAAAAACCCTCATCAAGTCCCAAAAATTACACAAACACTCTCCTGAGGTTTCAGTTTGTTTTCACAAAACTCCTTTTCGTTGATTGTTGGTCCAAAAATTGATGATTTCATTGAAAAAAAAAACTTATGCAAATGACAAAATTAACCTCAATGAAGTGTATGCAATCTAATCTCAAAGGCCAACTTTGTCATTTGGAGAATTTTTTTAAAATAAAATCATTAATCTTTGGATGAAAAATCAATGAAAATGAGTGTTGTGAAAACAATTTAAAACTTCAAGGGGTGTTATTGTAATTTCTAAAATCTCAAGGAGTTTTGTAAAAAAAGGGAAAACCTCAAGGAATGTTAGTGTAAATAGCTCAAACTTAAACTTTATAGGAACTCTATGTGGTACTAAGTCACTCATGTATCTTACCATGTAATGTGTAGAGTGTAAAATATTATAGTAAATCATTATAAATAAATGATTATGGTATGTTTAATCATCTTTCATTAATTATTACATATTTTCTACACTCGCAAGTCTTTGTTAGCTCGCTATATAATTAACTTAAATGAGTTAAACCCATCATGCAATGCATTTCCTTCCATTTTTTTTTATTTTTTTTGTGTGATAAAGTAATAGATAATTGACTAAATAAACATCCTCCAAAGTTTCAAGAAATTTTTTCAAGTTTTTCTTACAAATTCCGTGGGTTTTATTCAATTTTTATCGATATCGATAATTTCCCAATAATTCTATCAAAATTTTCGTGTTTTTAGACTATTGATGTTTCCGAAACCATCAATATTTTAGATCTTGGGTATAACTTACTCAATACCTAAGACTTAAGTTTTGTTGGTCTCTAGTTGGTTTAAGTCCTTGGTAGTTTTTTGTATGGGTGAAATAAGGGGGAAACCGCAGAAAACAACAACTAAACCAAGCAAGTCTTTGATAGTTGGTAGGTCTTCCACCAATAGACCAAGCAAGTCTTCGATAGTTGGTAGGTCTGAGTCAATTTTTTGAAATTTCTATAATTGACTCCTTCAGCAAGAAAAATTAATTCAATGAGCAATGAATGCAATGTTTGAAGTTTCTGGTAGTTGGTTTAAGCTACATGAGTCAATTTTTTGAAATTGGGATATATACTTTTCTATATGGTTCAAAAATTGACTCATTCAGCAAGAAAAATTAATTCCATGAGCAATGAATACAATGTTTGATGTTTCTAGAAAACCCGTGGCATACAACTTTTGTTCTTTGTTTGCTAGTTGAAGTGAATTATTATTTGGGGTGGACTTAATTTGTAGGTAGTGTTTAAAGTATATATTTTAAATAAAATAATAGTGTGGGGATTAAAACAAGTTTTAATTTTGGGACTCGGACATAACAGATGTACAGTTTTCTACTAATTCATGATAGTTTAACTATTGGGACAAGCTGATCTCTACCCTACAAGGAGGATGCCCAACAAGATTCTCGACCACCTTGCAATGTACTTCATCATCTGTCACTGTTTACTTAAAACGTTAACCAATTCACAAATTGTTCTACACAAGTTTCATATCCACATTACCATTTACCCGTCCAAAGAAAAATCGTTAATTATCCAGTTTAATCATAATAGTCTAATCAAATCATGCAACTTTTCTAATGACTTCCTCTATAAATAAGCGCACAAACATGCATATAGAATTAAAGCAGCCTGCAGGCCATGTTTGCTCTGCCTCTCTTTCATTCAAGAAAGGAAGGCAGCCTGGGAGGCTCTTCAGGCCTTAGGCCATACTAGCTTATTGTTTCCTTTCTTTCAATCATCTTTCTCTTCCATTTGTTGCTCTGGGTTTTCTACTTTGGAAGCAAATAGCAAGCTAGCAAGCAACATGGCAGAAACAGTTATCACAACCCTTGTAAGTCCTGCCGTGAGGATTGCACTGGAAAAATTGTCTTCTCTTGCTACAGCGGAGTTTTTTGCATTCATTCATGTCAAGGATGACATAAAAAAGCTAGAGAGCACGTTAACAGACATTCAGCAGTTGCTTACTCAACTCAATTCTTCTAATTCTACCGGCATGAAGAATTGGCTCGTAAAGCTTCAAGTTGTAGCTTATGATGCGGAGGATTTGATTGACTGTTGGGCAACAGAATATCACCAGTGGAAGATAAAGAAGCAGGTACGAAAACTTCATCTCCCATTCAACACTTGCAACTTTTTATTTCAGCAGCGCCAATTGCGCAAGTTGAAAGAAATTAAAGCAGAAATAAGTGAGCTTTTACAAAATGGACAGCGCTATAAAACCATCATTGGGAACCCTACGTCTAGAAGTCAAAGTAGTTTACAACCACAACAAACTGGTTCTCTTTCAAACAATCTAGTTGTTAGCAGGGAAGAGGATAAAAAAAAGATTATAGAACTGCTAATACCAGATGAAGAAGCCAGTGATGGGGGCGATCTTTCTTTTGTTCCCATTGTAGGGATGGGAGGATTAGGTAAAACAACTCTTGCCCAACTTATCTATCACGATGAGAAGGTTGAAAATTATTTTAAGATTAAAACTTGGGTTTGTGTAACAAACAACTTTGACATGAAGAGCATTTTCAGAGAAATAGTGGTTTCTCACATGTCTGAAAAAAATATTGGCCATGATGTCAACAACCTCTCCTATGCCCAACTGCAAACCCGTGTTCAAGACATCCTGACCCGAAAACGCTTTATACTTGTCCTAGATGATTTATGGAATTATAATCATGTGGAATTGCAGCCACTATTGGATGTCTTAAATCTAGGGGGCAGGGGAAGTAAGGTTCTGGTGACTAGTCGGATTTCAGATGTTGCAAATATTAAGGGTTCAAAAACCCCTTATTATTTGCAATGTTTGGATGATAATGAATCGTGGTCATTGTTCGCAGAGATTGCATTCAAAGAGGGTAGTTTTGCACAGTGTGATGTTGAAGAGTTAAAAGTATATGGAAAAGAAATTGTAAGAAAATGCAGTGGTTTGCCTTTGGCAGTAAAACAAATGGGAGGTCTGCTACGTGGGAAAACTGTGGATGAGTGGAAACATATCATGAGAAGTGAAGCATTGGAAGTAAAAGAGGATAAGATACAACCAGTTCTTAGATTGAGTTATAACCATCTGCCTTCACCTGATCACAAGCAGTGCTTTGCGTTCTGTTCCCTGTTTCCAAAAGCTCATGTTTATGAAAAGAATGAATTGGTCAAATTGTGGATGGCAGAAGCATTTATTCGACCTCATAACAGACAGAGGACAGAAGACATAGGAAGAGCATACTTCAAGGAGCTGTCAGACAGGTTCTTCTTTGAAAGCTTAACCCAAGGCGAGGATGACGGAAAATATAAGATGCATGATCTTATCCATGACTTTGCACAAACAGTTTCCAGTCCTTTTTGTTGCCAAGTGACAGATACGAAAAGTTTAGAGCCAAGAGTTGATGAAAAATCTCGTCATGTATCACTTCTTTCAAAAGATGTTGAGCAGCCTACTATAGAGATCATCAGCAGATCGAACAAGCTGCGCACACTTTTATTTCCTGTTCAGCACTTGAGAACCTTTGGGAAAGCGCAATATGAGATATTCGATTCACTTACGTATATGCGCGTGCTAGACTTGAGTTCAAGCACACTTCTCAAGCTGCCAGATTCAATTGAAAAGTTGAAGCTTTTGCACTACCTTGATTTATCAAAAACTGAAATAAAAAAGCTTCCAGAATCTGTATGCAAGCTCTACAATTTGGAGACATTGAAACTTTTGGGTTGCCCTTGGCTTCTCAGTTTGCCAAAGAAGCTCAAAAATCTTGTCAAGTTGAGGCATCTGGAGCTGGATGAAATGTTCTGGTACAAGGCATCCACATTTCCACAAGGCATGGGGTGTCTAACCAGTTTGCACAATTTACACAAATTTCAGGTTGGCTTTCCCTTTTTCATTTCTCTTCTTTTGTTGTTGCTCCTTATGCTCCCATTTAACCCCCATAAAACAATTTCAGGTTGGCAGGGATACTGGATACAAACTTGAAGAATTGAAGAAAATGGAATACCTTACAGGAACACTGCACATCTCAAAGCTGGAAAATTCAGAGAATGCAGTGGAGGCTAACTTGAAAGGAAAAGAAATGATTCAAAAAGTAGTATATGAATGGAGCAGCAACACATCTGACGTTAATTTGCAAGATGAAGCCGCTGCTAAGCAGGTACTCGAAGACCTGCAACCTTACTCAAGGCTCAAAGAGCTCCAAATATGTCACTACAGGGGCACTGACTTTCCAAATTGGATGAAACATGGACAGCTTCGGAATTTGGGTAATATTTCTTTGAATGGTTGCACAAGAATCAAAATCCTCACTCTTGGAGAGCTGCCCAACCTTGTAGAACTCGGTCTCAAAAATATGCTGGAGTTGGAGGAATGGCAAGAAGAGGTGCTCGAATCGCTCTTAATGTTAAAGATAAGCAACTGCCCGAAGCTGATGAACATGCCTCGCCTCTTTCCAAATCTGCGTGTTCTAAAGATCACAAAGTGCGCATTACTGGAGACCGTTCCATTCAACAGAGCAATGTTCGTAAAACTTGTTGACAATCCTGTGCTGAAGCACTGGCCGGAAGTAACACTAGTTTATGTTGTCCAAGGGGGAACTAGACACCTAAATTCCTCTCTCTCTCTCTTGGAAGTGAACATTATCAACTGCCCCGAGCTGCGTTCGCTGCCAAGAAACCTCTGCCCACAGAAACTGGAATTAAGTGGATGCATGTCGTTGAGAGCCTTACCTGACCAACGCTGCTCGGGGAGGCTTCAGGTTTTAGCATTGGATGCTTGTCCTGATGAAACACTAGTGAGTATGATACCTGGCACCGGGAGTTTATACTCCTTGGCGGTTTCAAACATCTCAAATTTCATCTGCCTTCCAAAATGGCCTAGTCTCCCAGGACTCAAAGCGCTGTACATCAGTAATTGTGGAGATCTTGAGTATCTAACCAACCAAGAAAACAGGACATTGTTCAACGGCTTCACCTCTCTTCAACTTCTCTCCATCCAGAAGTGTCCTAAGCTTGTGACACTGCCAGTTGAAGGGCTCCCAATCTCTCTTCAAGTTTTGATCATTAGCTCATGCGCGAGCCTCGAGTCATTTGGGGCCCCTGACGTGCTCAAGAATCTTACCTCCCTCCATGATCTTTACATCGAAGATTGCCAAGCACTCCAGTCATTGCCAGGGGATGGCTTGCCAACCTCCCTCCAGCATCTGTCTATCCAAAGCTGCCCTTCACTGATAGAACAGTGTGAGAAGGAAGATGGTGATTTGCCCAAGGTTGAAGGCATTGCTGATAGGGAAATTAAGCCATCTACCAAAAGAACCTCATCATGAGCACCTCGGTATCGTCTTCCTGGGTGCTGAGCAAGTGGCGGTACATATATTTCGATCCTTAATTTATTTTCTTCTAGTTGATAGTTAATTAGTGTGTGTGTGTATATATATATATTGATACAAATTAAGCCCAACAGTTACAAGTTTGCTAAAGGCTCTATACATTTGACTTGCAGGAAAGTGAAGGTGGATGGAAAACCAACATGATGGTAAAAGAATTACAGCCTTTTTTTTTTTTTTTTTTTTCCTTTTAATTTTCCTGGTGATGGATGTATCTTGTTTTAGAGGCTTGGAAGGAGATTGCCTGTAAATTTTTTGTTTTTGTTTTTTTCTCTACTTCTTTAATGTGTAAGAATAAGCCCTTTTAATTTTCCTGGTGATGGATGTATCTTGTTTTAGAGGCTTGGAAGGAGATTGCCTGTAAATTTTTTGTTTTTTGTTTTTTTCTCTACTTCTTTAATGTGTAAGAATAAGCAAACCTTCCTACATGTGTTTATGTTGGAAGGAGGATTGCCTGTAAGATTTTTATTTTTCTCTTTCTTTAATATGCAATAACAACCAACCTTCTGACATTTAATTTCAAATCTTCTGACTGAAGAAAAGTAATTGATTTGAACAGAATGGATTCAGCTCCAAATTATAATTGCCAATAACTAAGAACCCTAGTGGCATTTTAGTCTCTATTTTATTAGAGGGGATTATGAGTTCAAACTTCATAGCACTTGTTAAGAACACAAAACAAGTCTTGAGAGAGAAGAGAAAAGATGATTGTTGTTGTGGTTAGTTATGTCATCCGAGCTTGTGCTGGGAATTATTTTCACTGCTTGCAACTTTTCTTTAGTTGTTTAGGGAGTGATTATTATGCTTCTATATCTTTAAAAAAAGGTCAAGTCTAAAAGTTCTTCATGTGTAAAGAGGAAGGGTACGTTTTCATGAATTAGTACATTTAGGTTTTAGCCACAAAAAAAACTTTCACTTTTGAAAAATGTCAAAAAAATGTCAAAAAAAACAGAAAAACCCCTCTACTTTCAAACCAAAGACATATAAATGTATTGGATTCCTTAGGAAATCTAAAAATAAATAAGGGCATTTTTGCCCATTTTGACTTCTTTTAAAAAATTTCTCTTTTCCTTTGGCCTTTTCCAAAATGTCCCTTCAGAATTCCCCCTTTGTTTGATGCACGTGCCTCTCTCATGTTGTCTTTGCTTGCCTTTGTGGAAAACTTTTCATAACAAAAATGCTATTTCACATTTCGAGTGGAGTAAAATTTTTTATAGAGTACAAAATTGTCACTCAAGTCATCAAATTCAAATATAACATTTTGTATTTGACATCGATTATTGTTAATTTTTCATGCCAGTTGTTCGGGCCAGTGTGCTCCTTTGCACGGAAGTTTGAATAATAATGGCTTAATTACAGTTATGCCCTTTCAACCTTTTGATCAAAGGCACAACTGAGAAAACAATAATCGTAGAAAACCGGTGTGCAATCCGGTCCGGTCCACGTTCCAAATCACCGACTCTAATATATTCTCGATCTTACAGCAATGAGAAGATAGACAATCCACAGTGAGCTTCTTCTTCTCCGCTCGTTTTTCTGAGGGTCATCAAACAAATATTCAGATCGATTTAGCTGCTGAGAAATGAGATGGTGGTGATTTCAGTGAAGCCCATCTTCACCATAGGGGTCCTCACTCTCTCTCTCATCCTCGCCGTGCTTCTCTTATCGCCTACTTCGCCTCTCTACAAAGCCCCTCTCTTTCTCACTTCACCCATGTATGTGTTTATAAGTTCTTCCTCTGCTTCTTATTCTTACCATTCTTTGTTCTTTCATCTTTAATTTGTTGAATAGTTTTAGTGGTGAAGAAATTGGAGGAAATCTTAGATCTTCAAGAGTTCTCTTATGCATATATGTGTATAATATATACATATATTTTTAGTTCATTGGATATGTGTACGATTTATATGCAAAAACCATTCATTTATTAAATAAAGATTTGTCTCTTTTTTTTTTTCCTTGTTATTTTCAATCGTGTCCTCCATGTTTGGTTGCTGTTAAAATGTGAGAAAAGAAAATTACAACGCAATTTGGGCATAGTTTGAAGTGACTTTGCCATTATTTGGGAACCAAAAACTGCGTAAACCATAAATATCTGGTTGACTTTGTGAATGCAGGAACAAGTTGGATGTATGGAGTGTTGAGAGGATGGTAGAATGGAGACCTTGCAAGTGGTGGCTAAAAGGACACCTCACTGGTAATTCCGGCTAATTTTGCTTCCTTGCCTTTCCCCTCCTGTTAAGTTAGCCCGCCGTTGGGTTACTTAGATTTTTTATTTTTTATTTTGGCAAATTGGGGCAAATAATGCTTTTAAATTGAACAATGACAAACTAGAGAAAGCAAGTAATATCTGCGTGCTGAAATTAAAATATTTGAAATGTTACCCCAGAATGATTTGTGGTGTTTCGGGTATTGAGAACTCTTTAGTTTTATAGATTTTATTTGGGCTTTGTTTGTTATATGAAAATGTAGACACCACAAAATTTTCAAAAATTTATGGTATTTTGCTGTGATGGGAATAGAATTAGGATTGAGATGAGGTTACTGCATAGTTTTGATATTCTGAGTCAATCGTAATTGACTATCATTGCAGACAATTGCATTGGTTTTTTGTTAAAATGCTGCAGCTCTACCATCAAAGAGTAATGGATTCATTCGGGTGGATTGCTATGGTGGCCTTAATCAGATGAGAAGAGATGTAAGTGATTGAAGAATCTCATTAATTGTTTTAAAATTGCTTGACTTTAAGCAGCCAGTTTGCCAAGTATGACAAATTATTTATGTGGAGTGCAGTTATGTGATGGTGTTGGTATTGCCCGTCTTTTAAATGCAACCCTGGTTTTGCCAAAGTTTGAGGTGGCTGCTTATTGGAATGAATCAAGGTAATTGGTGTTTTGCATATCATTTCCATGGGACTGGTGGAATATCACCTCCTCTGGTTCTTGAAATTCTGATAAACTATGGGACCCACCTTCAATGTCTTGAGGCAAAGACAATTAATTACTTTATCTATCAAACTGAACAGAATGGCTTTTGCTATACCTAAATATTGATTATGGTAATGATCTCATATGCAGAATATATGGCTACTCCACTCATTTAAAAGAATATGTTTTTTTAATTTTGCTTGTCCAAGCAGTATCCTCATGTAACGCTTTGGTTTCACATCAGTGGTTTTGCAGATGTCTTTGATGTTGACTACTTCATTCAACAGATGAATGGCTTCATCAAAGTTGTGAAAGAGTTGCCGTCCGATATTTCATCAAAAGAACCCTTCCATGTAGATTGCAGCAAACGCAAAGGCCAATTTGATTACATTGAAAGTGTTCTTCCTTCGCTACTAGAGCATCATTATATTTCAATCACGCCAGCAATGAGCCAAAGAAGGGATAGGTATTTCAACATTATTCGTTTCTGTTCTTATATTTGGGTGTTTGGAAATTACATTGGAAGACTTGGTACTGTGAATAGGTACCAAATTTTTTGGTAAAGGCCAATAAATGTGGTCAAAAACTTACCATCAAGTTGTAAAAGTCAACTTGAAAATGTTGGTTAGTTTGTGTTAGGGTTGTTAGCATATAGAAAAGTTTCTTGATAAATCTGTAATGTGTAAGATTATCGTCACGTTGGATATGAAATTTGATTCAATATGAATAGCGGCCTGTTTGATTCATAATTCAAAATTAAGATACTATGCAAAAAAATCGGTGGGATTCTCAGTCTTTTAAATATATGGAAACAAGTTTGGTATTAATACAAAATCGTTTTCAAATTCCATTTAGTTGGTATTGGCTTATGAATCCTCAATATAGGGCTCAGTGAGGCATACATTTGGGGCTATGGTCACGTCCAAAATGTGTGGCTTTGGGTTAGAAGACTCGGTTTTGGGGCTTGGGTTCTGTGGCTGTGGTTTCGGGCCTGGGTTCAAGTCTGGGGTCTGCTACTTGGGTTATGGGTTGAGGTCTGTCACTTTTGGCTCAGGGATGTGGTTTTGACTAGGTTTAGGATCCGGGGCTCCAAGACTTGGTCCAGATATGGGGGTTGGGTATTAGGTGAAGTCTAAGCGGAAGTCTAAGGTTTGAGATTCATTCTTAGTCTTTCGGTTTGGTTTTGAGATTTTTTTCGAGGTATGAAGCCTTGCTTGGGCATGCATTCTTTATTTTGGACTCAGGTTCACGGCTAGGGGCTGAAGTCTAAGGTTTGAGATTCATTCTTAGGCTTTCGGTTTGGTTTTGAGATTTTTTTCTAGGCATGAAGCCTTGCTTGGGCATGCATTCTTTATTTTGGACTTAGGTTCACGGCTAGGGGCCGGAGTTTGAAGTTTGGTACTTGAGTCCAAGGTCAGTGGTATGGGATACGAGCCTGGCTCCGGTGTTCGGGAAAAGGGCCTCCTAGATCCAAGGTTCAGAGTGCTAGGTTTAGGGCTTGAGTTAGTGATCTGTTGTCTAGGGCATAGTGTTTGGTTCGGAGTTTTGGGATCTAGGCCCATGTTCTGGTTTACAGATTCACGTGGCGACTTTGTACTTGAGGTCGGATGTTTTGAGTCTCTTTGGATACGATGTTTTACAAAATGTTGAAACAACTTTTTTTTTTGGCTTTTTCAAAATTTCGGTTATTTTTAGGTCTATATGAAACAGTCTGTCAAAGGCTCCCTTGTTATTCTTATGTATACATATGTATAAAGATTTATTGAATGCCTTGTTTTAAAAAAAGCCAAAAAAGAAATGGAAAAAAAAAGGTTTTGGGTTGTAAACCAAACAGGCCTTATTCTTGGTTATTATTTATTTTTTAATCTGAATAAACATTTGTAGTTTCATGACTGAAAAGGATATACATAGCTTTCGGATCTTACAACTGCTGATCTTTAAAGTACACTGATACCGTTTTGTCTTCTGTACTTTGTAGGTATCCTCAGTATGCAAAAGCTTCCCTTTGTCAAGCTTGTTACAGTGCATTACGCCTCACCAAATCCCTGGAGAAGAAAGCCTCCGAGCTTCTTGAAGCCATACCTAAACCTTTTCTATCACTTCACCTTCGTTTTGAGCCTGATATGGTAGCTTACAGTCAATGCGAATACCCAGACCTTTCTTCTGTCTCCATGGAAGCCATTGAAGCAGCACGGGGGGATAGAAAACCATGGACTGGAGAGGTGGCCCAAATTTGGAGGAAACGAGGGAAATGCCCCCTTACACCTAATGAGACAGCCTTCATACTTAAAGTGCTTTCCATCCCAACAAGCACAAACATTTATCTGGCTGCTGGGGACGGTCTGATGGAAATTGAAGGATTAACATCTGTTTACACCAATGTATTTACCAAGTCTAGCCTTCTTAGTGGTGAGGATTTCAAAAGCATGCATGGGAACACGAAAGCTGCATTGGATTACTACGTGTCTATTAACAGCGATTCGTATATAGCAACGTATTTTGGAAATATGGATAAGATGGTTGCAGCAATGAGAGCTTTTAATGGCTTGTACAAGACTCTTTTCTTAAGCAGAAGAGCTTTTGCAGAATTCACTTTTCAAGGTTTGAGAGGGAAGGAATTGATGAACGCTCTATGGAAGGCCCACAGAGATGATTTTGCCATGGGGAGAGGATCTGCTTTGCCTGATTGCTTTTGTGAGTTCAAATTATGATTTCAGATCCCAAGTTGGTCTTTGCTTCCTTCCTGTTGTTTTTTTTCCTTCAATTCATTTGTGTAATTGCTATTACTAATGTACTATACAAGAACCTTTGTGGATGCCCGTCTCTCCTACCCTGGAATTTGGTAGGATCAATATGTTCATCAATGTAGACAGACACCAACTCTTGGTCAAAAAAATTAAAATTAAAATTAAAAAGGAGATATTGACTGTACGCCAACTCTACGCAAGATCTGCATATACATCGTTGGCCAATTCTTTGACAACCTATGCTTTACAGGTTCAATATTATTTTAACTTGGTATCAGAGCTCTAACGTTGTATTATGGGTTTGAAATCTTATCATTAATTATGGTTAAACAAACTACAACTAGGAATGGGTGATATCCTTAATTAGCCAGAGTTTGGTGTAAAAGAAGACTTTGATGCTTGGTATGAGTACTTGGTTATACCATGGTTAGGTTATAATGTACTTAGATGACATTATAATGGAAAATTATTTGCATAGACTATTACTAGCCTCTTCGCACTTGCTTCCGCGCCTGAGAGAGGTTTTTTTTTTTTTTTTAAAGATTAAATTTTTTTTAAAATTAAAAAATATAATGGATAGTTGTGTTCCATAAAAATAGGATTCATTATTTAATTTTTCTTTTAATTTTAATTTTTAAATATAAAAGGTGAATTTACCATATTATCCTCATTTAATTAATAGTTTTAATTCTTAATGTTTGGATTAACCAATGACATTTTCTGGTATTTTGAATGTTTCACCATTCTCTGCCTTTTGCTTTATATATATAGATAATCCATGTATGCAAATATATTTTTTTGGTAAATCATGTATGCAAAGATTTTGAACAAGAAAAAAAGGAATAAAACAAATGAATTTCAAATAATTTCTTGCATGCAGATAATTTCAAATGTACTATATCTTTCATTCTCTGTTTTACTAGCTCCTAGCTATTCATTCCCCTATGGTCTAGGGTAACAAAACTATCAAATTTCAAAGCTACATATATATGCTGCTGATCGTACTTATCTCGAGGGTATAATTTGTTTTCCTGCACCGCATGTCTTGCATAGTTATAAATATATATTGAGGTAAAGGCTACTTCAAATTCAAACTACTCTCACAGTGTAGAACTTAAAAATGACACATTGAGAACATGAACAATAACGGCTTCGACATCTCTCATGCTTTTGATGCTGATGGAGGAGGAGGTGGTGGAGTTGGAAACATTGGAGGAATTGCAGAGAACATGGTGTTTTTGTCAATCCCATCAGTTGTTCGATCTCCTGACAAAGCAACAAGAGCTGCCACTAAACCTGCATTTCCCACAAGAGTAGGCTCGGTGTAATTGTAATTAGCACGAACATCATGGAAGCCGTCGTGTTTGTCCGGACCAGCAACCATGGCACCAACAATTGTATATGGGTTTGGCTTTAAACTGCCCCTCCATTTCCACCCCCCTTTACAACTGTATTTAATCTTCTTCTTAGGAATAGATGCGCCTCTATGGTGGACTTGTTTCGGAAAATGGTTACCAAAGCCCACAACATAGCTCATTTTCTGTGGATTTCTTCCAAGGATGTAATCAATTTGGGTTTTAGCAAAATCACGCAGGACATCAACAGAGAAGAAGTTGGGTCCACAATGCAACCCTGCTGGTTTGGTGCTATCTGCAGCTTCAAGATAATCACTGTAGACAGTGGCTAAGAAGGCTGCATTGACTACATACTCAAGAGGTCGCGGCCTTCGAAGATGTCCACGATTCAATTGGATCAAGCCCCCTCTTGTTCTGTTAAAGATTGTGAAAGCTGGTAGGTATGAGCACATGATTGTGTTGGTCTCGTTGTGAAATCTCCTCAAAGTTGTTTCGTATGGGTACCCAGGATTCAAGAATAGCCTCAAACGGGTCAGAAGCACCTAAATAAAAGAGTACTAATCATAAATTGCATCAACATAACATATTGAAACATGAACACCACTTATTATATATAGATAATATGTACCTGAGCACCAACAAGCTTGTTGTCCCAACTCAATACTCCATGATTGGGCCAGTATTGATTAGGCGCCTGGGAGAAGGTAGCATGTTTGGCAAGAGCAGGTGTTGTTGCCAACTGAAGATAAGAGGAATTGCCTGTGGCATAGTACAACCAAGTGCTGGCCCATACGTATTCGTCCCAGTAACTGGTGGAATTATAGAAGAGTGCTGCATCCGAGCTACCAGAACTATAATGGCCTCTCGAATCCCTTGAAAATTTGAAAAGTGCTTTGGCTCCATGGACGAGCTTTTTTGAGTAGGTTCTGTTGTCTTTGAAAACAATGGATGCAGCGGCTAGGGAGGCAGCCATTTCCGCAGCAAGATCAGAGCAAGCGTGGCATTCGGTCACAGGACGCGTGTAATCTATATCTTCAGGACGCATCCAGCAATTTATATCGTTAGGAGTTGTGTCTTTTCCACCATCCGTGTTCCCCAAACCAACCTGTCAAAATACACAGCAAATTAGTAAAAAAAAAAAAAAAGGAAGAAAGTTTAGTGCTATATATGCATACCTGGGAAACGATCCTGTCAATGGTATCAGCTGAATTGTTGAAGGTCTTGAGGAAGTAATCGGTGCCCCATTTGATGACGTCTTTAATGTGGGTGAGTTCTTCAGCAGCTTCGTATTTCGCATTGTATTCAATAACGCTCCAGCTGAGCATGGTCATGGCGAAGGAAGCAGGGAAGTTGAACTTGATGGAATTTCCGGCATCGTAATAGCCGCCCACAAGATCACTCGTTGGAGAACCGGCGGTGGATGGCTTGCCATCTGTCAGGCAAGAGTCACCCCTCCACAACACATGGTTATGGTCTGAGAGTTTTCCTGATCGCTGGGCATTGAAGAACATCAGAGCCTTGTGGAGTGCCAAGGTGTAGCTGTTCGGGGAAGGAGTTGGAGGGCTTGCGTGGATAGTCGAGGCGGCGAGGAAGGTGGCAACTAGGAGCATCATCCCCGCGCGACGAATGATGATGCATGTCAACTGATGATGATGCATCCTTAATGAGTTCTTACTTGTCTTGTAAGAGGAAGAAGAGATTTCACCACAAGCCACACCACACAAAGCATGCATGCACAAATAAGAAGTGAGAGTTTTGAAATCATCAGAAAAATCATTAAAAGAAACAAAGTCAAGTAATAGGGGAAAAATTAATTTTAATTGGTCTAAGTAAGTTGACTGGATCTTAGCATCTAGAAGTTGTTAAATGTTGCTCTCTCATGAAGTGTCATCAATTTTAAATATGGTTTGAGTCCTTGGCTGGATCTTAGCTAACATCTAAGAGGTGATTAAGAAACTGATTAAATAACGAGAAAAGTTATCAAAGAAATGTAATAAATTTTAAAAATATATTAAACCCATTGAGATCGTGTTTGATTACGCCCTATCTTTCTTAAGCAGGAGAGCAGTCTTTGAGATCTTCTCGTCAAAAGTCAACCCCAGCATGATCCACAAATCACTCTTCCTTGATGACTATTCATTAACTATGATTCTAAGAATTCCTAAATCATTGTCCATATGTATGTGTATATCTATTAATTGTTGTTTCCATTGTTCTGCTGTGTATATAATCAATTACTCATGTAACGAGTGTGAAAACTATTTCAGTCAAAGCCAATCTTAGGCTCGTTTCGGAGTAATTCTGGATAGACCAATAATCACTTCTATGAAGAATCACTTCTCCATATATATTTTATGGAGAAGCAAGTGGAAGGTGCTTCCCCCCGCCCAGAATCACTCCCAAGTAAGAAGAAAATCATTTCACCAACTTCATGTGATGGTTAAAATAAATTCTAACATAATAAAGATGTATATGATCGCAATTTGTTAGACGTTGCTCTCAAAAAATGTCATCAATTTTAATTCGTTTGATTACTTGACTGGATCCAGCATCTTGAAGTTGTTAAACATTACTCTCATGAATTTAAATTGGTTTTTAGTACTTGACTGGATCTTAAGATAAGGCTCTCCTTAGCTTCTCAAAATAAGTAGGAGGCTTTTCAAGTTAAAACTGATTAGAGTTCGATGAGAAAAGTCATCACAAAATGTAGTAGCTAGCAGGGTTGTAATAAACTTTAAAAATATATATAAAATTATATCACCAGCTGAAATTGGATCATGCCCAAATTTTTTAAGCAGGCCTTGAAGCCGTCAGCTCAGACCCAAATTTTTTGCATGAAAGATCTTTGAAGAAATACCTAAAAAATAGACGGTTCGGATTATGAAAATACAATATGGATGGGCTCCACAAAGGTGTCCCTCAAATAAGCTTATAATGGAATTTCGAATTAGGAAAAATGAATTCCATTGGTAATTAGTAGTAAGTACTGATATGTTTGAATAATTTTCGCAGTGATATTGATAACATTGAGGTAGTCGAAGTGTTGGATATGTGCTGGCTAAATGTGAGAGGGCAGTTTAACATGTCAGAGCTGCCATCAGGAGTTGTTTATGAGATTGCATACATGGTTAAATTAACAAATGGAGGGTATGGATGGGAACTCCCCATTACACTCCTGATAAAACTCACGGATGGAAAAAGTTGCTTGAAAATTCAGGAAATCTAGGCCAAAGACCAATGGATAGAGCTTGTTGGTAGCCGTTTTGAGGCCAAGGAAGAAGAGGCTGGAGAAGTTTGCTTTGATCTTTATGAACATGGCGGACACTGGAAAAGTGGGCTAATCGTCAAAGGTATCATTATCAGGCCAAAACATTGATGACACCAGAAATTACAGTGATGAATTGTTGTTGTTTATTATTATTATGTCCTTTGTGTGCTTCATGGGTTTCGCTAGCTAGAAATGGATGACCTAAAGCTTAACATGTCCAATGCACATGTTTTTTTTAATGTGATTCTTATTGCTTGTTTTTCTTTTTCTGTTAGGCACTCAACAAAGTTGCTTGAAAATTCAGGAAATCTAGGTCAAAGATGGGAACATTTCACCTAATCTTGAGCTAAACACGGGGCCTTATCAAGAAACTGGGATTAACTGCATCAGCGTGATGCCTCAAACTAAATACTTTTGAGGTTCTAAGTGTTAAAACTTCTTAATCTGAATAAAGAATGAAAAAAACCTACTATAAATATTTTCACACTTTTTGGTCAGTGCTGAAGCATCTAAAATCTATCTTGTGAATTGACAGTAACTCAAGTTGCTAGATCAAATATCAAATTCAATGCTTTCTGGACTTTTTCAGTCAAATTTCTTACTCAAAGTCAAAGGCATCCAAGCCTCATATACATCATCAATAAAGAACCAATTCTTTTTCATTTTATTGTTCCTTTAAATTACACACTGACCTAGTGTTTGAGCACAAATGAATGCTTTAGCTTAAATTCCTAAGCATTATAACAATTTACACGATGCAATTGTTTGTGTACAATTTGCTTATCAGGGCAATTAACAAGTTAACATACACTCAAAACAAAAGGAAAAACAGTGTATATGTAACTGACGTAAAACTAACCTCTGAAACCACTTCCTTTATGGCTTCACCACCCTGCAGTAGAATTGACCATAATCCTTCCTAGCCTGGCAACCAAAAAAGAGGAGCGTACTGTTAACACTATCACAACCAAAATCGCATTATTTGCCTTAAAGAAAAACAGAAATAGTAAAAAGAAAGACAGAAAAGATCACAACAGACACACTGCGTTTGTTACATACCTCAAAAGGAAAGTCACGTTTGATCCAATATCCTGCTGACATGCATGATTGCTTTCGTACGTAATAATTAAAGCTAATCTACAAGTATACTGAACTATTTGTACTTGAGCGTCACCAAACTGCATTCACAAACACCATAACGTAGGATTAATCTATGATCAAAGAAAGCAACCTTCGGCTCGTAAGTCCAAAGTGTTTGGTCTGTTAAGAATACCCTTACCAAAAGATTTGTATATAGAGTCACAGAAACTCTTTTGGATCCTCGAGACCCAATTCTTATGATGGATTTATCAAGTCACCATGTCCACAAAATGTCAAAATGACCCTCATTTATGTTATGTAACCACTCAATGTATCATGGAGTGGAAAAGTGACTTCCGTTGTAGCGCTAGCTTACCTCAACTGACGACTCATTTGCCAAAAAAAACAAAAACAAAAACAAAGATGATGTTCTTCCTCTATGTTTTTATGTCTGTAAGATCCACTTCTTGGTCTTGAGACTTAAATTCTTCAACCAATGACTGCAGAACAAGTGTAGCTTCAGATGGTCTTCCTTGATGTAAGTAATCATCTAATATGAGCGAGTACTTTAAAGAAGTTTGGAGTTCCTGGTCCTTCAAGTCAAAAGAGATGATATTCTTCCATTCCTTGGATCTTCCTTCCAAGCAAATACCATAAAGCAGACCAGCAAAAGAAACAGAATCTAGAAAGATACCCTTATTTACAAACTTATCACACAACTGTAACGCAGTTTTAACCATCCCATTATGGCAAAGGCAAATGTTAATGGAATTATAAACAGCAGCCTTCTGAGACCAACCATCTGATATCATCCTTCCAAAAAAACCCAGAAAAATTGATTTCTCATTTTCTTGAGACTCATGCACTTCCTCCAAAATTGCACCAGGTTCATTATTTGTGAACCCATTGACCAGATAATGGAAGGTAACATCATTAGGAATGCACTTGTTCTTCAGCATTAGTTCAAAAAAGGAGACTGCTTTTGCAAGTTTACCTTCCTTGCAAAAGTTTCCAATAAGTATGCTGTATGTGACCACATTTGGCTCCATACCACAAGATTGCATCTCTCTAAAAGTTTTTACAGCTCCACAAGAATCTCCCTTGTGGAAAAACCCATATATCAAGGAGGTGTACGTGACCACATTTGGCTTGCATCCCTGTTTGATCATCAGTTCAAAAAAATTCAGAGCAGCATCCAAGTTATGCTGTTTGACATACCCATCAATTATTGTTGAATAAGTGAACTCATCAGGATGATGATGATGCACTTCCCTCATTTTTTTAAAGCATGACAGTGCATCCTTCATCATTCCAAATTTGCAGAAACCCTTAATCATGGCATTGTACCCAACAACACCAGGGTCTAGACCCTTGTCAATTGTTAACCCAAATAGTTTCTTTGCCTCGTCAAGGTCTCCATTTCTGATTAACCCATCTACCAGAGTGGCATAAACAAATGCATCTGGTGGTATATTTTGGTCAAGCATCTGAGCAAGCAGCAGCTTGGCAGTAGAAAGCCTCCCTCTCTTGCAAAGGCCACTCATCAAAACATTGAAAATGCCAGCATCAGGCACTACTCCATTTTCCATCATTCTGTCCCGGACTGTCAATGCAGTATCAACTTCCCCAGAAACAACAAGTCCATGGATGAGAGCTCCATAAGAAACCAAATCAGGTTTGTGTCCCCTTTCTGTTATCTTAGTAAATATATCCAATGCCCTACAGTGTTCCCCTTTTCTGAAATAGACATGAAAAAGAGGAGTATAACTAAACTTATTTGGCACCAATCCCCTTTCCATTGCATTGTTTAAAAACTGCTCAGCTTCCTCAACCTTCCCATCCTTACATGAACTATTAATCAAAATATTGTAGGTCGTAATATCTGGCTCACAACCACACTCAATCATCATTGTTACAGACTCCACTCCTTTAGCTGAGCTACCGTGTTTACATCTAGCGTCAACAATACTATTATGTACTTGAACATTGATAGTCAAGCCTCTCTCCTTCATTTCCATCAAAAGTCGATCAATCGCTTTAAAGTTTCCTTCTTTGCAGTACCCATTTATCATAGCTCCATAAGTTTCCAACGTGGGCAAAAACCCCTTCAACTTCAACTCTTTAAAAAGCCGATTAGCATTTTCGGCATCACCTTTCTTACAATATCCATCAATAAGTGTATTGTAAAAAACAACG